ATTTGATCATGAAATAGCTAAATAAATAATCAACAGCAATAAGGGTCTATTATTCAATTTACAATAAAAGTCAGATATAACTATCCTACGTTGAACATTTATTTAAAAACGAACAATTATCAATCAGTTTAAACCCAGTTTCAATTATCCCAATGAAATCGTGTTAGTTACTTTAAGTAAACTCAAATTTAGTTAAGTTCTCTCCAGTATACTATACTACGTACATATAAACAGGTGAAATTTATGGCACCAATACGATGATGTTTCAGTGCCCAAGTCGTGTACACAACCTTCAAAAAATGAACTGTGTTAGTTGATTCTCACATAAAAAGATCATACTAAAGCAAAAATGTTAAGAATAAAGCATGACTTATAATGTTAACTAAAAGGTAAATTTTGACTATAATATATGGAATAAATGACAACAATTTACAGAGATATTCAAAATATTATCTCAAAGTAAAAAAATTTAGGGAATAATTTTGTGTAAGAACTAGAACTTATCTGTATTTTTACTTTATTTATGAATGTGAATAGGTAGGCAGGTGCCCCAGACTAACGGAAGTGGATGTAGACTCTTCGATAGTAGCAGGAGTCTTCGATATCAGTAGAATAAATGTAGAGTCATAACAATACTGTCTCAAAAAGTGGTTACTCATATGCCAATTACTTACGTCACTTTATACGCCAGTTAGGTCTGAAAATCAGCTGTACACCTTCCAAAAATATAGCCAAACTACATGCTGATCCAAACCAGTAATGCACGATCGTACCATTATCAAAATAAATGAAAATTCAGAATAATGCATTCATTCTGAAAAGGCCAAAAACATTAATCGAAATTTGAACAGTATATTCTACAGGATTTCAAATTCCACTTTGGATGAATTCGTGCTCTTTACTGTTAGGAAAGTGTTTCAGAAAGCCCTTTTTTCTCTTGAGATTCGTCGGACGTTAAACCACGCGTCTTTTTCGATCTCGATCTCGGAAAGCTCTCCTCCTTTTTTCAAAACGGAAGCTTCTAACGACAGGTCATATGACCAAAGGCAATTAAGGAACTCTATCGTCTATACTCTGAAAATTTTTTTTTTTATGGAAAGGAACCGCCACCTGTAATTGAATGGAAGTTTAACATCTAGCGAAATAGATGGTGTCAGCAATATTAAAATTTGGAATTTATAAAAAAGAAAAAATAAAAACGCTACACTTATCACATTATCATGTCATAATATTATGAAATAATATTTCCTACTACTCAATTTTTTTAATATTGAAAATAAACTTAATAGTATAAAGTTTTTACTTATCTTTATCCTTTTATTGTTATTTATACTCCTGAATACGAGGATAAGAAATTTTAGTTTTCAGTACGCCTATGACCGAAAGCGAACGTCTACCTCCCGCTTCATCAGCGGCCATGCTGATGGAATCAGGATGAGTAAATATAAAGGGACCCTAAAATTAATAAATTTTGCTCGTCTGCTGCAACACGTAAGAAATATTTATTGATGGATCAGTATGACAGAGAAGTATTAAAAAAATGTTTTTATGAATACAAAAAATACAAAATGGTATTTGAACATCATATTATAATCATATTTGAAATCGGACAATAGATTAATTTATCAGCTATCCGCAGAAATGATTACTAATAATAAAAAACATGACACATGGCAATTACTGCGAATTTAAATTATTAAAATCGATAAGAGTTCATTCATAATATAGATATATTTCAACGAACTCTACTTTAAAATTTGACTTTTTTAATTTTAGTTATAGCACTGGTGGTATAACAAAATATATAAGACGAAGTATAAACGAATCAATAAATAAACAAAAAGGTTAATTTATTTAATAAAACGTACAACGTACGGCTTTGTATGCCGATTGTCGTGTATGAAAGAATGAAAAGCCTTTAACGCTTGTTCAGTACAATACGATATTCTGAATGAGAAAAAGACTATAAAATACGGGAGAAAATGAGAAGTTTATTACCATCCACTTAATCCGGATCGGCTGACAATAGTATTTGTGATATTTACAAGCATTATGTAAATTAATTGATTATCGGTCCTATTATAACTGAGGATGTAACTACGTAATAGAGCATATTTTTTGGTTAGTTTATTTAATGAAGCGTACACATTCTCGTGTGTCAACGTGTTCAGTACAACATGATATTGAGAGAGATGCTGATGCTCTATTACGCAGACACGTACATCCCTAGTTGCATAATAAGACAGATAATCTAGTTAATTCCAAACGTACTAAAGCGCAAATTCTGTTGTCGAACAATGTAATCAGTATGATTACAGATTAAATAATTATGGAGGTGTATATATGAAACATTAAAACGATTCATCATTGTGTTAAGTTATACCAATGCAATTTAACAAAAGATCAACTTAATGTCTCACTCACACTGGCTCACCCATTATTATTTAATACTGATTAGAATATCGACAACAGAATTTGCACTATTTAATGCAATACAGCATATGGTTTTTGGTTAGTTTATTTAATGATATAACTTGATAATGTACACACGGCTTGGGTGCCGATTGTCGTGCACAGAGTCTATAAACTCTGTGATTGTATAAAATGAACAAAGAGAAAAGAGCAAGAATTTTCCCAAGTTGTGTATGAAGTTGAGCTCCTGGATTAACTTTCGCTGGATAGGTAAATGATGACTAAAAATAAACGACCCAAGATTTTCTCTTGCCGACCAGTATATCGTAGTCTTAAAGAACAGAATAAAATAAACTATGTTAAATTTATGATTATGATTAAGTGGATAGGTAATAATTTTCTCCCCGACTTACAAGATTGCCATAGCGATTCAATTTCTAGACATGTAGGTAAATGATGACTAAAAATAAACGACCCAAGATTTTCTCTTGCCGACCAGTATATTATCGTAGTCTTAAAGAAATTAGAATAAAATAAACTATTAGTTAAAAATGTTCATGTATACTACTGAAATGAAGATAATAAATCTAAGCTAAATGTAATCTATTACAGTTGTAGTAAAATGAGTAACTAATTGTCGAAAATCCAGATCCAACCCTAGATGCCACATTTTTTTGAAACGTCTACTCATGCGGTTTGAAATTTTGATGCAAAATCTGGCAAAACCGCTCAGAAGAAATGTACCCACCCATACCCACCCAACTTTTTTCTCTTTTTAATACATTTGATTTGCCATTAAGCTGCCTACATCACTGTCTTACACGTTAAAATCCTATACACAGAGTTGACCTGTCCCGATGTGTATATGACGTCATGGTGTGGCAAATGTAGCATTTTAATTCGATTTGGGCTCCCATATATAGGATAACAGAAACATTTTCAATGTTAAAACCATTTATATAAAATTAAAGTGAAGGAAGATCTATACTGTGAATGTGGCTCTGTTGAAGACCTAAATCATATCTTTTTAGAATGTCCTATAAATTTTTTGTTTAATTTGGATTTATATCAGAAATTTATTGAAATGAATTTTCCTACTCCACTATCAATATTTACAGTTTTGTCTAAGCCAAGTGAAAAATTAATAGAAACTATTATGATATTTTTAAACATTAATAGAATTAAATTATAATGCTCAACTTTCTATTTTTTATTTTCTTTTTGTTTCAGTTTCCGAATGCAGTCTGTTTGTGTGACCTCTACCCTATGTGCCTTTGTTTGTGATATAATCTTCCTTTCAACACGTCATTTATATATTTAATAAATAATAATAATAACATTTTACAGGCACAGGTTACCTTCATAGAAGTTAGTTATATTAAAATTTACCCATTATACATTTTACTCAGATAAGAATCAGTGGCCTTGATATGGTTTAGTTATTTTTTTGTTATAAAATATTGAAAATTAAGTTCCAAAAAATAGCATTGTTCTTCTCATTTTTGTTTTGAGTTTTTAGACATAACTTTTGCCGATATGGTGCATGAGATTGAGAATATAGCCATGCAGTTAAGATTGATATTATACATACTATAAAATATAATCTTACAGAACAAAAACTAACATAAAGAATGAAATAATCAAGAAACTTTTTATTGAAAGTTAGAATTATTTATTGCGTGTTATTTCTTCGAGATAATAATCTCGAAACTATATGTAGAATGTGTAGAATCTTTAGGTCAACTAGATTATTATTCTATTATTTGAGTTATTACTGTTTTTTTGTATTTGTAATTGTTTTATTAATTATATACGTTTTAAATTTTTTGACTAGAATTCGATCAGAAAAGGTTTATTTCTAGACTTTATGTTGTTTGTTTGGGATCAAACAACATAAAGTCTAAAAATCTAGAATATAATAAAGAATTGTTGTTTTCAGGAAAAACATAAATAATACAAAATAATCTCAGAAAATTTGGATAGGCTACAAAAATAATAATATTTCACTGCACTGTCGGTCATAACTAACGAGAGTAATTTTATATTTGATTCATGATTTTTGGTATGATCCGTTAACGCTTTAGAAATATTATTTCTGAACTTAATTGAATCTGTTTCGAAGTGTAAAAAAGGAATCTTTATAAAGGTATTAAAGCAAAAAAAAAATAAAAAACCAATTTTCCTGTTCACGTGTATTGTTTGTAACATCGTACTCTTCAATGACAAACGGATATACAGTAATAAACATATCCAACTAAAGTATGATTTTTCTTATAGCACATTCTGTTCTCAATGTATTACGCATTGGAATGAATATCTTAGGTCGTTGATAGATGCAGTTATTTTTCATATCATATATTTAAGCCTTGTTTACAAATTGTTCATAAGGTTAATTTTTAACAGCACAGTATATATTTTGTCATCTACCAAATAATATATAATAATAATATAATGATCAAATATTTCTTATAAAATAGACTCTAAAAACTCACGTGAAATATCGAATGAGAGTAAGAATTTTTATACTAAATAAAATGTCATTGACTGCTTTTAATGAATAAGCCGCTAAAGAATTTTGCGTAAATTACCTGAAGGGTTATCTGCACTGGATCTGCGTTCACTAACCGGAGGTTCTTGAAAGGTTAATGTTAGACTGCCCCTTGAGCTGCGCACATCAGCTGCTAAATTGTTTCTAGTAGCAATACTTCCCCTTGGACTCCTATTCGGATCGCATCCATTTTCGGGTCCAATACTTCCCCGTGGGCTTCTCTGCTCTGGACCATATTCTCCTGTAATAAGTTGATAATATATTAAGATATTATATTAGAGTTCGATTGAATTGATTGAGAGCATTCTACAATGATATATACACTGTGTCAGTTTTAAAACTTCCCACCCTTAATATCTTTCTTGCAGTTAAAATTATGGAAACTCGGAAAGACATGTCAAAATTATTTGTGAGGGGGAAACTTTAAATTAATATTTTTAGCCTTTTTCTTTCAACCCCTTAGGAGGGTTTGATCGGGTTGAGGGTTGAGGGTTTGATCATCCTTACAATCTTAAATGGGAACGGGGGTCAAGTGGCACATCGCTTTAAAGGGTGTTTAATTCTCTTTTTAGTGATATCCTACTTTGTTGCTTTTTTTTCCAGAGGTTTCCGAATAATCGTGTTTCAAAGTTGCAGAAACAATTAAATATGTCTGCATTGAGATTTTGGTTTTCAGGCTAGTGTTTACACAAAAATGATTGCGATGGATCTTCTTGTAGTACAAATACTTAAAATATTAGGCTACCCCTATCTTATAAGTTGTTCAAAATGTTGTCCATTTTCCTGTAAACAATAATAGTCTGTTTTTAAACTCCTCTCTAACATTTCGGTAAACTTCACCGGGAATTTACAGCCATTCTGCTATAATTCGACTCCATCCGTAACATGGAATGAGAATCCACCAACGGTCTAAGACACTCGAAAAGAATTTTTAGAACTTAGGATCGAGAAAAATGAAATATTTTCCTGGATTTAGGTAAGAACAATCTTCGGATTGTCACGGGGTTTTTGACAAGACTCCTCAACGAAAACTTCAGTAGTTAGAAGCTAAGAAACAACGGCGAATGCAGATTCTGTGAGGAAAATGGGGAAACACCAGAACACCTTATCACTGAGTGCGCCGAGACTCATTCGTGTCATAAATTTTGGTATGACTATAATATCGGAGATGGAGAACTAACCTCTATAAAACCGTCCCAGATACTGACTTTTGTCATAACTCTGAAACTCAACGATGAGTTATAACTCAAGAAAAGGGGACACGATAGATCTGTAAAGCCGTAGTGATTAACTTCTCTCCTCCCATACATAATAATCTCTAGAAATACAACCAAAAAGAATAATGTATTTTAAGTATACCAGATAAAAAAGAAAAAGAAAAAAAATCGATAACCTTAAAGCACGTAGAGCTCTTAATATCTACGCTTTTAGCTTAGTACGCTTACTCGATCAACTTCACATTCTACAAAGATTGATTTGAGTAGAAATGAAATTAGTGTTAAAATTTCCGTAATAACACCAAGTCCCAAAAAGGAGTTGCTGCTAAAAACAAAAGTTGTATCCATACCATCTGCTGTTGTAAAATACATCTAAAATTTCCGAAAATCTTGACTACAATCTTAAAATTATTAACTACTGTAACAAAACTCTTATAAAGGGTTAGGGGTTCGCTCAAGTCAAAGAAAACTCTTCGAAAAACACTCCGAAAATTCTTTATTCTTGGTATCTAAAATACTATACATTTACTTAGCAGGGGGAAAATTTTATATATATGGTACAATCTTACCTATCAAGCCTTTCTACTAACTTTTAAAAGTACAGTTTTACACTTTATGGCCACGGATAATAAAATGAATACAATAAGAATAGTTGTTTCAGCGTACAGTAGCGAGAGTAAAATGAGAATCGAATTCAAATATGCAAGGCGCAAAAAAAGATTTAAATAAAAAACTGACTCTCCAGGTAGAGCTACGACCAAATAAGATTCCCCACATTGTTATGGCTGCTACAACCGCCCCCTGTCTAAATAAAAGTAGCTTTACTCTTTTAGGCTAGACACATCCGAGTTATAAGGCTTCAAATGAGACACGTGGAACATACCTCTCTCTTCGTCGGTATTTTCCATAATTAAAATATAAGTTGACAGGCCTACCTTCTTTTTAATACGATATGGACCCTCAAAAAGAAGAAGAAACTTCTTGGTTTTTGATGATAGGGCTGAAGAAACGGGGTTCGCTTTAAGCAACACCAGATCTCCAGTAGCAAATTCTTTATAATGTCGACCAGGGTGTAATATCTTCCGACGTTCAGCGCGGCTTTGTAAGATCTCTTTAGCTAAAATAAGTTTCTTTTCATAACTAAGCACCTTAGGACTATCAGGATAATCGACCAGTTCTCGTGTAAAAGAGGTAAGCGGTTCCTTGAAATGTAATTCGGAAGGTGTAAAGCCTGTGGATTCATGCACCACAGAATTAAAAAACTGACCAAATTTCCGTACATGTTTAGCCCAGGCCGTATGTTGCTCAAAGCAATATGTTCTAAAGAGACGACCTAATTCGCGCATGTATCTTTCAACCGGGTTTGACTGAGGGTGTCTTACCGAACAATGAACAACTTTAATTCCAAGAGGTTGTAAAGTATGTGACCAGGATTTTGACGTAAACTGCGAACCATGATCAGTTAATATCCTTTCAGGCTTACCCATTTTTTTAAAATAATCTAATATTAAACGGTTTAAAATAGCTCTGGTAGTGGCCTTTTTTAAAGGGTATAATGTCACATATTTCGTAAATAAGTCGACAATCACACATAAGAATGTAACGCCCCCTGTAGACTGGGGTAACGGTCCGTATAAATCCAGACTAATAATTTCATTTTTTTTCTCGGATATTACAGGAGAAAGAGGAGCTTTTGGTAATAAACTCAATTTTGCCTTTTGGCAAATGTCACACGCTTTTAAGCATTTTTTGATATCACGAAACATGCCTTTCCACCAGAAATCATTTTTTAAAATACTCCATGTTTTAAAAATTCCAAAATGACCTAAAGAAACATGATAATCATAAATAATTTTATTTTTAAATTCTGATGGAATGCACAAACGGTAGGATTCATCGTCTGATTCTCTTACAAAAAGCAATTGATTTTTAAGAACAAATTTATTTATCTTTTCATCAAGTTGTTGATTCTCTAAACTTTTATAAATTGGCCCAAAATAACTATCGTTTTTTTGCGCGGCAGGTAGTTTTTTTAATAACGTGTTCAGCTTATCAGGAAACTTGATCGACGAGGAAAACACTTTAAAACACTTCTCACCCGGAACCGAATAACGAATACCAGGGTTTCTCGATAGTATGTCGGCTATTTTATTTTCCGAACCCTTAACGAAAGATATTTTAAAATCATACTCTTGCAGAGCTAAAGCCCACCGAGTTACCCGAGGCGTGAGTAACCGACACGTTTGAATATAACATAAAGCTCGGTTATCGGTTAGCACTTCGAAATGACGTCCTAATAAATAAATTCGCCACTTCTTTAACGCAAATACAAGAGCCAAGATTTCTTTTTCGTTGGATGTGTAATTTCTTTCCCGATCAAGTAAAAGTCTACTAGCGTACGCTATTACTCGTCGTTCTCCCTCTATCCTTTGAAACAGTTGAGCGGCTATTGCGTAATCACTAGCATCAGATTGTACGTAATAAGTGGCAGTATTGTCGGGGTGGTATAGTAGTGTAGCATTCTTTAGTAACCGTTTTAACTCATCGAAAGCCCTGTCCTGTTCAGTATTCCAAACCCACTTATTTTTTGTTCTTAATAATTTACTTAAAGGTTCTGTTACGCCCGAAAAATTCTCACAAAACCCTCGATCGTAATTACATAGTCCCAAAAATGACTGAATATCTTTTTTATTTTTCGGTTTTGGATAATCCTGAACGCATTGAATTCTTTCAGGATCGGGTTCTATATTATTTGTGCTTACAATGTAACCCAAATAATTTAATTTTTCTGGCATAAATTGACACTTTCGAAATTTAACTGTCAACCCAGCTTCGTTTAGACGGGAAAAAACTTGATCCAAATGATTTAAATGGTCTTCAAAATTCTTGGAAGCTATCAAAATGTCATCAAGATACGGTATAACAAAGTCATCAAACTCTGAACCCAATATCTCAGAAATGCATCGCGAAAATGAAGAAACAGCGGTAGAAAGTCCGAAAGGTAACACCGTAAATTGATAGCACTTAGTACCAACCAAAAATCCCGTATACTTTTTATCGCTTGGGCGCAGAGGTATTTGCCAGTATCCAGACGACAAATCAAGACTAGTTTTAAATGGTTTCCCGAACAAAGACTTCATAATATCATCAATAGGTCGTGGTAACTCGTATTCTTTTTCTAATACCCGATTTAAATGTCGCGCATCCAAACAGACGCGAACCGACCCATCTTTCTTAACCTCTGTGACTAACGGACTAATATATTGGGTGGAAGCCCTTTCAATTACCCCCCAATCAAGCATTCGCTTAATTTCATTATCTACAGCTTCACGATGTGCAATTGGTATAGGATATTGTTTAACTTTAAAAGGAGTTTCATTAATCAATTTAATTTTGTGATAGTACAATTCGGTTCGCCCCGGTATATCAGAAAATATATTTTTATATTTCAAGAGAAGATACTTAAACTGATTTTTTTGTTCAAATGTTAAAGATTTATTTTCGTTTATAAATTCTGTATTAAAACCATTTCGATCAGTATTTAAAGTATTTAAGGAATATTCTTTTTTTAAGGCTATCGTTCTAGTTTTTTTAATGTCGCTCGGAGGAATATAAAAATGAATCGTATTAATTGTTGAGACTGTAAAAAACTCTTTATTAGAATTTAATAATGTTATTGTATCATTTTCTAAGTTTATTTTACTTTTCACTGAAAATAAAAAATCAATACCTAAAATTATCGGAAAAACTAAATCACTAATTAATAAAAATTCATAACTAAAATAGTTATTAGCTATTTTAAAATCAAGAAACAATTGTTTCGCTATTTTACGTTGTTTTGTTTTAAACGCCCCTGTAATACGAATCCCCGTTACCGGAAAACTAGGAATTTTCTCTTGAAAATCTCCCAATTGAGCGTAAACGTCACCGGATATGCAGGATATTTCTGAGCCGCTGTCAATTAGTGCTGGAAAAGAAAAATTAAAAATTGAAACAGTAATAACTGGTGATTTTTTATTTTCAATGTTAAGATGGTCAAACTCACAGTCAGAGCCCCATGGCTCTTCTTCCATATTTTTATTTAGTATTACGGCCATTTTGCCACTGTCAGTTGTCTCCGGCCCTAAAGACTGTGGCTCGGCTCGTTTCCCGATATTTCCAAATTCGCTACCCCTAAATCGTCCACTAAATCCACCGCGGATACGTTTCGATTTGCATAATTTTTTCTTTCGGGTCCCAACCTATCCTTTTCATAACGCGACCCAAAATTTGATCTGTCTACCGTTCTATGATTATAATATTCCGCTTGTTGCAGTATTGGGATTACTTCTGACAATTTCTTTAGCCCTATTATAGCGCTAAATATATTTACCGGAAAATGGCGGGCTATACATTGAATTAATTCAAACTCAGACAGGGGTGGTCTGAGATATTGTGCCATAGCTACGTATTTTGTAAAATGGTCTACTAGAGAGCCAGTTTCATACTTTCCTTGCCAAATTTTTAATTTTATTTCTAGTTGTTTAGTTTCGCTCCAAAAATATCTTAAATATGCTTCCTCAAATTCTGTAAAAGTAAGAAATGATTTAAGATATGCCTCACTCCACGCTTTAGCTCTACCCTGTAATTTTTTTGCCAATAAAAATTTTATTTCTAGAAATGAGGTATTATTTCTCTGTAATAAAAACTTAATTTTTTCTAGAAAATCTATAGGGTGTAACGTATTATTACCATGAAATTCTGGAAGCATATTATCTATGTTTGCTAAAATTCTATTATATTCGCTAATGTTATCAATTTGAAAAGGTAAAGTTTGTTGATTGTTATTTTTAAAGGTATCTGTTATAGATTGATTTACAATATTTCTTATAAAACTATCTAAGTTATTAAAGTCCCTATTATCATATGGCGGTGGTGGTTGGCGTGGGTGTTGATTAGTTTGTTGTGCAATTCTTGTAGAATCAGGAACTTTTACTTGTTCACCCAAAAAATATGGAATGTTCCTACCTTGAAAATCCATGCCCGATGTATATATTGGTGATTTCTGTGTAGGATAGCGTGGCAAACCTCTGGATGCATTCGAAAGAGGAATGCGCTCATTTTCTGGAATATTCCTACGCCGGACAGCTCCAGTAGGTTGTCTTCCACTTGAAGTCTGTTCTGGAATGACGCTCTCGTTTCGCTGGGAAAATGTGGGAGTTGTTTGTAGCTCCTCGTTCATTCTTCTCGCCCCCAGACGTGTTAAGGGTGGTGAATTTCGACTGTTATCAGCAGGAGGTGTTCGTCGAACTGCCATTCTTAGACTCGGCCGTAGTTGGGTAGCCAAGATGTAACAAAACTCTATAAAAGGGTTAGGGGTTCGCTCAAGTCAAAGAAAACTCTTCGAAAAACACTCCGAAAATTCTTTATTCTTGGTATCTAAAATACTATACATTTACTTAGCAGGGGGAAAATTTTATATATATGGTACAATCTTACCTATCAAGCCTTTCTACTAACTTTTAAAAGTACAGTTTTACACTTTATGGCCACAGGATAATAAAATGAATACAATAAGAATAGTTGTTTCAGCGTACAGTAGCGAGAGTAAAATGAGAATCGAATTCAAATATGCAAGGCGCAAAAAAAGATTTAAATAAAAAACTGACTCTCCAGGTAGAGCTACGACCAAATAAGATTCCCCACATTGTTATGGCTGCTACACTACTAATCAAATTCTGTTAGATAATTTGCATTTTGAAGATAGTTATGTACTACTCCGACTCTATTAAATAAAAAAGAAACAGAAACATAGATTCCAAAACTCCATAAAAACATACTTAATTTTTATATTAATTTGCTAGCAGTTTGGTTTAGAGAGCCAAGAATATAAATATCTCAGAAACACGAAGTAAACATTTTCTTATTTTTATGTTAATATACTATAAATAAAATCGTAAATATGTTTAATATACTATAAAATTATATTTTCATCTTGCCAAACCAAACCAAACTAAGCAGGTAATTTGACTTTCATAATATTTGTTATTTCCTATTTTAGTTTTTATAAGTGTTTTAAGAATCAATATTTTTGTGGTATAGCTGCAGATCCTATGTACGTATCTGATATACATTACTACAACATTTCCGTCTAATCAGATCCGTCTAAAAGTTTTTGATTTGTAATCGGAACTGAAAACGTATATTTTTCCACTATAAAATAAGTTTTCCAACTTTAGTAGAACTGTGTTATAAGCTAGAAAACATTATTGGATCGTAGCGTAGTTTACAACAGTCATAAGAATTGGTGCATCGACAACAGGATCTTGTTCATCGTCGTTCGAGGGGTGTATTGCCGCATCGTAAGCTGATTTATTTTGCACGTAATGTTTGCAATCCAGTTGAACTAACTTATAGTCTTAGCCAAATCAATAACTATATTGCATTTATTACTTTTTTCTGTATTCTTCTTTAAGGTGGTTATTATAAATATCGAGATTATAATATTAGAACTAGACATTAAATAGTACTACAAAAAAGTAAATGCATTTAAAAATGAATTTAAATTATAATTAGTTAGTGTTATAAATGTAACTTTGCTGTAGTCTACTTATTCATACTATTACTAAGACTAGAATTTACCGGTGGTTTAGTCCGTGTAAAAATTAAACCTCTTGGTTATAGATATGTTTAAGTGGATTTTAAGGTTTTAAAAGGTTGTTGCTCGTTTTTTTGTCAATTCTTTTGTCGTTTTTTTCCATTTCTAATCAACAAAATCATGCTTTTGTCTTAGAAAAAGCCGAGATGTTTCTGGATAATTAATTCAAAATATATTATTGAACACTCACAAATTGATTTTTTATTTTTTATTGTATCACTGTATAAACTAAGAGTTCAGTCCTCGATAATGTCTTAAATTAAAATAGCATGTTTTAAAAGCCAGAAGCCAGATGTAAGTAAGAAATTTCTTTCATACAATAATGTATCCCTCATTAAGTATCCACTCAAAGGGACATAAAATATAAGTTTCTAGTATCCAAAAAAGTTTGTTTAATATTTCGTGGTTCTAGACTTAGATGTAACAGATTTTTATATACTTATTCACCAATACTTTATCTCTTAAAGTAAGTAACTAACACAATTTAAGAATATATTCGTGTATTATATCTATGTACCTAAAGTTAGCGGTTTCGTAGTTTCATAAAAACTTTCATGCCAAATATCACACTCTTGTGGAATAAATTTACTAGAATTGATGGTAAAATGCTTAAGAGCAGGAATATGTTATAAAACATATTTCTGATATTTCCTTATTATATTATTTTTTAACGATTATTAATTACATGCATACATAACTAAAAATTAATAATATATAAATAATCAAACGAACGGATATTTACCTGTAATGCTACCTCTTGGACTAGTACGATGTGATAATACCTCTGGTGCTATACTTCCTCTTGGACTCCTATTTATTTCTGGAGTTATGCTGTGTCTAGGGCTACATTTAACTGAAAAAAAAACAGGCGATAAAAACATTTATTTAATTTACTTATTAAAATTATTTATTTCACGACTAAGAATACATTACACCGTTTAATTGTATCACAACAGTTGTAAGGACGCGTAACATCGATAACATTTCCCATATAAAATGTCAGCGATCTTCATTTCATAGCCATCGCTGACGCCGTTTTTATTCGATCATACGGTAGTTGTTTTATAGTCTTATATAATTACTTTAAGGAAATAATGACTAAATATCGATTTCCAACACTTTCGTTTTATTTGTTGCGCCTTCGCCAATTATTAGTAATTCAAACCTAGCTATTCGCGTCTATACCGCTGCTTATACAGGGTTGTTTATCACATACGACACTTATTGTAACTAAACGATAAGATTTTTGCAAATTATAAGTTTTGGGCTCGTTGAGGGACTCTTAGAGCTACAATCTAAAAATAATTTTACAATATACAGGGTGTCCCAGAAATAAGTGCAAATATTTTAACTGGTAGTATAGTTCAACCCCAGAAACATGCCTATGAGGTTTTTTTTGCGAAAAAAAAATGTTGAAAATTTAAAAATTTTCTTGACATTTTCCGGGAAATTTGAAAAAACTTTTTAGTGCCACTTGTTTATTCACCTGAGATTTCTCTACGGTGTATCTAAACCTTGCAGTGTTGCAACCTCCTATGTTATCCACATTCTACATAGTTCTACATTTATAAATTCATAGAAAAATTTCTACTCAAAAATTAGGAATGTTAAATTTTTATCAGTGCTCATTATTAATAATTATTATAGAAAAAAAACACATTAATTATTTTTAGTACTTACCCTTTCAATGAAAACTTAACAAAAACCACCGAAAATTAACTAAAACATTACGTTTATGACGTTTACGAAAATGATTCATCATATTATTCACAACCAGGTCACAAAAAACAAATTCCTAAAATGTTTATCGTAATTTAGAATTCAATATTTGTTTTCTTTCATGTTTCTCTGTTTTATTTGAACCACTGATTTACAAAACACCTTGAAAAGCGCACATTACTTTGAATACCGTCACTTATCGCCACTTTACGAACCACTTTCAATCTAAGACATGTTTCACTCAACAATTTTAAATACGTATTTTGTTTTTTCGCTATTTTTTCGATGTATTTTGACAGCCCAACAGTCGCGCGTCGGCCAAGAGTGCCACGTGTGAACTGGTCCTTTGAGCCGCGCCGTCGTGGCAGGCTTGCGTCAGACGACAATGTTAAGCAAAGTTGCCGTAGTTACAACAATTTCAAATTCAAGACATTCGAAGCAATCAAATTAGGATTAAATTTTAAAAATAAAACAGAGACACATGAAAGGAAACAAACAAAACAAAAATTAATTGATTATTCGTCGGGCTGTTTTCGATATATTGAATTCTGAATTACGATAAACATTTTAGAAATTTCTTTTTTGTGACCATATCAATAATCAATTCATTTGTGTTTTGTTTGTTTCCTTTCATGTTTTTCTGTTTTATTTTTAAAATTTAATAAGAATTTGATTGCTTCGAGTGTCTTGATTTTGAAATTGTTGAAACTACGGCAACCTCGCATGACGCAAGCTCGACACGCCGGCGCGACAAAGAAGCAGTGAGCAGTTACCAACCAGTGATCAGTGATGCGTGGCTGTCTTGGCCGATGGTTGGGCTGTTGACGGAATTGTCGAAATACATCGAAAAAATACCGAAAAAGCAAAATACGAATTTAAAATTGTGGAGTGAAACATGTATTTTCTTAGATTGAAAGAAGTTCGTAAAGTGGCGGTAAGAGACAATAATTCTCAACATTTATTCATTCAGCAAGATATTCAAAGTAATGTGTAATGTGTGCTTTTCAATGTGTTTTGTAAATAAGTGGTTCAAATTGTGATGAAGCCTATATGAAAATAATGTGTTAAGTTAAAAATGGGGACTGTTATTTTAGCAGTTTTTATAATAGCACGTACAAGTAAAGCAGCACAATGAAGTGTATTTTAGTTAAGTGTGTATCGAAAAAGAGAACTGTTGCAGTTACATCGATCTGTCATAAGTATCTTTTTTAATATTAGGTAAGTTTTTTAATTTAACTTTTAAATATTTAACTTTTAATTTATTTTATGTAATAATATCATGATCTTAAATATGTCATGCATCTCTGCAAACTCCTCAGGTGTTGTGATTTTATGACTTACTTGTAAACATATACTTTCTTGTCCATATGGCAACACAGTGCGTCAAATTAACTGAAATCCGGGCTTGATCCGGGTAATTGGATGTAGTTGGCAATATCTGCCGGCGGTTCTCAAAATGTTGCCATTATTTTTTTAAATTTTCAAAGTTAAATAAGTCGGTTATTTTCAATTTATTTTAAAAATGGTAAAGAGAAAATATGTTTATTTTGACCAGATCTACCACCCCTTAAAATATCTGCACTCATTTCTGGAACACCCTGTATAGAGTGTCCCAAATAAATTGTAACGAGAATATTTTCGTTATATTTTTCCTTTATATAATTTACAACAACAATTAACAAAAGTGTCAAAAAATTTAATTAAACGTCCCCGATGAATTTATCTACACTTTTTTAACATTAAAATATGTAGCACTTATAGTAACTTTTACTCTCAAGATTTAATTCGAATCACTAAAAGTACTTGGAAGAAAATTATACTAAATCGAAAGATTATTAAGACTTTAACCCTTTGTAGCTACGAAACAAAGCAGAATCGGACCTATGTTGATATAAAAAATAACTCTTATTTTTACGCGAGAAATATCCCCACGAGAGATGGCACATATTTTTTAAAACCTAACACCATGTAGAAGTCAGTGCTTAATTAACGTTAATTTATTTAATTATATCAACTCAAACATGTGTTGTGTATTTGTCCAGGAGTAATCTGCATCCAGTTGCTATATATCGCAGTAAAAAAAACATTTCTTATGTATCCTTTCAATACCTTCCACCGAAAACAAACCATCAAATAGTAGAAATACAAACTTCCAAGTACAAAAACATGTGTACTTATATAAAAACACACTACTCTCTGAACTTAAACTCTAACTTCTAGAAAGTTTCCCTTCGTAAAATAAAAGCAAGGCTTAGAGGAAAAATGTAAGACGAGCTTGTAAGCACTTTCGCGAAGTTTTACATGATGGACGAAGAAAAAAAAGTCCTAATAGCATTAATTAAAAATTAACCAACAATAACTACATTTAATGTTTGTTTCACGTTTTTATTATTTCTATTTAATTATTATTATATATATATTTCTATTATTATTTTTATTTTTATGAAATTTAAACAAAAATAATGTTTAATTATTCTATTGGTAAATATGTTTACGTAAACCGCGGTAGAAAATAAATATAACCAAGAAGAGGTAATTAGAATATTTAAAATAAAAAAAAATACATTGTGTATAAAGGTATCCAACTTTTCGCTCAGATTGGCTTATCCAAAATGGTTTAAATTTGGCCAATTGGAAAAACTTTTGTGGTGGATTTATTGTAATTTACTGGCTATTTTCTTTATACTATTATAAGGAAAACAGAAAAAAGTATCTGCTCTGTTAGTATAAAAACATTCGAATTAAATGTAAAATTCTAAAAATAGTCTTTGAAAATTAAATCTATCTACAGCAAAGACAGAGGCAAATAAGAAATATGACATGTATTATATATGATAATTATTAATGAGTCTTATTTAATTTTCCATATATCGGGTGGTGCATCGGCGTTGGAGACATAGGAAATCCCATGCAAATTTTGAACTGTTCAAATATTGGCTCCTCTGTTGATTTTACAGCGAAGTTGTAAATATATTTTCTAAAGGTTTAGGTATGGTAAATACACATGCCAAATTTGAACAATTTTAGACCAGCCGATTTTGAGTAATTTATATATATATTTTATCTACAACCGTTTAGTAAAACGGTTTTTACATCACTATTTTTGTAGTATTTCAGTTACGTTATGAGATTCATAACACAACTAGTGGTGTTATGAATCTATAACATAACTACGTGGCACGTACTGTGGCAACTTCTACATCTGAAGGGAGACTTTCGGAATCGCTCATCGTAATTTTTAAAATAATTTTTCTGGGCAAAAAGTGCTCGCGTTTACTTGACAGGGCAAACTGACTTTTCAGAAAAAAATGTGACAAATGTCATAGTTAAAGGTGTTAAAGGTGGGCGACTAATAAACGAAAATTAAAACAGCATTTTCTTATTTTTCGGTTGTAGATAAAACGTTGTACATGACACGTGCGTTTAAACATGATTACAACACTCGTGTGATTAGAACGACTCGGTCTACGACCTCGTCGTTCTAATCGTTCACACTCGTTGTAATCATGTTCATAAACACACTTGTACTGTAAATAACTATTATGAAACACCAGTCAAAAACTGATACCTTACGTTTACAAACTATGATTTGTCATTGTCAAGAGTAATTTAATTTTAATAAAATTTCAACATTCAGGGGAAATTTACCGAAAATGTCAGACACACTGTCTAAGCTATTTCCCGCTTAGTACCATTTTATCATGCTTACTTTTTCTTTAGATGTATAACAATAAATTATTATTAGTAGTGAATATTAAAATTTTATTAAAATAGTTTGAAAATAACGGACAACTTAAGGTATGTCGGTTTTTTACTGGTGTTTGATTTTTACCTGTTCAGTTTTAATTTAATAATAGATGCAGTTTTTCTCAAATTACTGAAAATCGGCTTATCCAAAATGGTTTAAATTTGGCATGTGTGTTTACCAAACGTAGACCTTTAAAAACCCTATTTACGACTTCGCTATAAAATCAATAGGGGAGCCAATATTTGAACAGTTCAACTTTGAGTCTTTTTTCTACTTTTTCAGTTCAAAATTTGCATGGGATTTCCTATGTTTCCAACGTCGATGCACCACCCGGTATAAGTCAGCCTGGAAAGGACAATTAATGACATATGTCACATAAAACTATATGGTAAATGTCATCATCGATCGTCTTCTCCATCGATCTTTTATTCGATTTTATAGTTTTTATCTATGCATCTTAAGTTATTGACCACTTTTTCTAGTAACTGCAATAATGTTGAATGAATTAGTACTTAAATAATAGTCCCAATAATTATGTGAAGTTTAGACTTATCGATAACTAGTATCAGCCTTTCCGTAAGGTTGTTCGGTCCTAAGATTTCAGTACCGGTATCCGGTACCGTGGTACCGGATACCGGTACTGAAATCTTAGGACCGAACATCCGGTCATACAACAGGTATACCGGTTCGAACAATTAAATCGGTGGGACCGATACTGAACCGGTATACTGGCTGGACCGAAAGACCGATTGGACCGGAAGACCGGACGAACCGGAATATCGGAAAGACCGAAATGACAATTTTGGTTGTTATGCCAGTGAGCATTATGCCAGTGAGCATTATGCCAGTGAGCATTATGTCAGTGAACCATTATGCCAGTGAGCATTATGATACCGTATTAGAAAATGAAAATAGAAAGTTCTCGTGCCTGTAGCGTTAAGTAAATATAGTAACGTAATAAATACGGTATTTTGAGGTATAAATTATATTTCTCGGAATATATTCTAAATCTATCCGTTACCGTTATAACGTTATTGATCTAACTTAAGATTTTCATGGTTTATGTTCACATTTCCGGCATATTCTTGGTTTCTTGTCCAACATTCTCTTTACTTATGAAAAATGGAAAAATTACTGGAAGCTGCTTTTCTTGGAGATACAAATGGAGCGGAAATAAGAAGCTGTTTTACATATTTTAAATAATAGAGTAGACGCTATTGAATATCGGCCTGTGTTTTATGGACATTTTAATTTATATAATATACATGAGTGATCCATGAGTAAAATGCTTTACTTAAATTTTAGATGTACTATAAAAAGAAGACTAGATTACTAGACCAAACTAGACTAGCAATGCCTTAAACATACATCAAAATAAATTTCATTGCATGTTCCTGACCGTATTATACTGAACGATCGAAAAAAACGGCGTCCAGTTGGTTTTGAAATGAACATCGATTACATTCTCCATATAATTTTATATATAAAATGACAGTGATCTTCATTTCATAGCAGTTTTTTTTTCGATTATACGGTACCTAGAGTAGGAGAACACAATCAGCTTTGCACAAAAACCGGTACCGAAATCATTTTATACAGGTTTTGATTTTCATATTATCATGAATCTATTTTTCTGTACGGATTGAATCTAGTTTTTCGGGGCCGATTTAAACCGGTCTTCTAGTACCGGTATCAAAATCGGCCTTCTGGTACCGGTATCGAAACCAGTATACCGGTCTTGTGAAAGACGATACCGATACCGGAATATTTCAAAAGTACCGGTCCTGGTAGGGGTATACCGGAAGACCGAAAATGCCTACCTTTCCGTAACATCGAACTAAATAAATTTTGTACTTTGTAAACATTTTAATATAGAATTTTTTGATATTTTCGTATTTTTTTATTTTTCTCAAAAACGGCAAACTTTTCTCATAAGCAAAAATTTTATAAACAGTTTTCTCAAAATGTTAATAACAAAAAAGTTTATCCTCTTATAAAGATGATCCCGGAGACATAATATAATTTATATATTTTACATTCCATGAGAACTTTATTAAGCATAAAAATTACTTAAAATATAAAATTGTACCTTCTTCATTCCATGTTGTTGATTCCGAAGGAGTTAACGCCTGCCTAGGTGTTCTAGAACCATCTGGCAATAAACTGTTTCTAGGACTACGGTTGTATTCTGATAAATTTAATCTTGATCCATAGTTGTTTGATTCGGGGGTTAAACTGTGCCTTGGAGTTCGATTTTGGTCTGGAACAAGACTGTTCCTTGGACTCCTGAAAATAAGAAAAGTATCTTAAAATATTGAGTACTAGTAGCTCTACTAATCCCACTTTCGGTCATATACGATCTTTCTTTTAAGTTTAAACGAAAATAAAAATAGTAGCAGCATTTTTCTGTAAGAGTTGTATTACAAAAAGAATGTATTTCTTTAGTTCGTAACTACATACGAACTAAAGAAATACGTTGTCTACACAGTAGATCATATAATTATACCGTTCATAATACTACTTTCTTGTTTGCAACAAAAAAGTTAATCAAGTGACATTTAATAAAAAAGTAAATAAAATTAATGTTTTTAGTTTCATTTATTAGGGCTTTTTTGGCTATATTATAGAAAAATCCAGCGATGGTCTCTTTTAGCAGTATTATAGTAAATCTATAATAAAATTAAATTATTGTGGCCGAAATATATGGATTCACCTGGATTTACACAACCGCTGATATTGTCTCGTTATACGGGGTGGTGCATCGGTGTTGGAAACATACGAAATCTCATGCAAATTTTGAATTGTCCAAATATTGGCTCCCCTATTGATTTTACAGCGAAGTCGTAAATAAGTGTTTTAAAGGTATTCGTATGCTAAATATACATTCCAAATTTAAACAATTTTAGACAAGCCGATTTTAACTAATTTAAGAAAAACCGCATCAATTTTAAATTAAGACACTCAATCTCGTTAAACATATTACTTTTAGTTTAGTTATGCACTGCTACGCTTCTGGAACTATGATCCAAAGTGGTGATTTTAAGTCGCTCATTCTAAAAAGACAAATAAAAGCTTTAACATTTTTTTGAATGCATATGGGAAGTTTAATTTATGCTTAGGCATTAATATTTTTGAAACTTGATCAAAATTGATGAGATTGCCTATCCGCATTTCGATTTTTGTAAAAATTATTTTCGACTGCCAAAAAGGGATAAAATACATCTATTTCGGATAAATTTATTTCTTTTCTTTGTATTCCTTGAATCCTTCTGTTAATAAAGAGGACTTGACTTCTTCATCTGAAGGGTATATAAAAGTTAAAATGTAACTTTTGCAAGCACAATAGATTTAACACATGTAATAAGATACCCAATAAATAATATAGAGATGTTTCTATTTTATCGGGTTCTTCATGATTGTCGATTAGATCGTCCGCATAGTTATTAAATGGGACGTTGTTATTTTTGTTTTGTTTATAAAAATAATCAATTAAATGAGTCCTGGTGTCAATGTGAACATTATCGTACAACCTGGCACTCATGCTGAGATAAAGGGACCAGTCTCAAGGATACTTTAAAGTCATGAGGGCCTGGTATTTGCGTTCGACTACGAATTACAAAAATACGTTTTTGAAGCGCATCCTCGGTCAATCGACCTCCCGTGACATATTTGGAACCATACTTGTTCAAATACTCTTGCTGTATATCTACAGCAGTCTTTATATCATTCCAGATTGAACTGTTTTCCAGACTTGCCTTTGAATATTACCCCGTAAATAATATTGATAAACTCATACATGAAATGCATAGTCTTTTTACGATGGACCAAGCAAGTTTAATATCTCTGGGGCACTATTCTGTACACGGCATGGACAATCGTCGATATCGGTAAGTTACGATAGCTCTCGGTACGTATTTGTATATAGTAAATATGTGTTAATTGTTGTTGTCATAGTTACCGATCGGCCCTATGGTTGGGGCGCTCTTCTGGGGCGCTATTCTGTAAAATCGTCGGTATCGGTAAGTTACGACAGCTCTCGATACGTATTTGTATATAGTAAAAATGTGTTAACTGTTGTCGTCATAGTTACCGATCGGTCCTATGGCAAATATCGCAAATTTGTACCGACGAAAATCGGTATCTCTACCGTGCCCTTGTCAATCTCATGGTAGAGATACCGAGAGTCGTCGGTACAAATTTGCGATATCTGTCATAGGGCCGATCGGTAACTATGACAACAATAATCAACACGACGCTCATTAGCCGTACGTACCGATAGTTGTCGGTAACTTGCCGATATCGACGATTGTACAGAATAGCGCCTCTGTACAATCGTCGGTATCGGTAAGTTACTGACAGCTATCGGTACGTACGGCCAATGAGCGTCGTGTTGATTTTTGTTGTCATGGTTTTAGCTGTCATTAATAGGACATATAGTACTTATATTTTAAATTTGTATCGACGACCCTCGGTATATCTACCGTGAGGTTAACAAGGTCACGGCGAGGGGTGAACACTTAGGGATTTACGGTGTACACATGAGAGGATTTCCAGGGGATGTACCGAGGATGTAGTGGATGTACCAGGGATGTACTAGAGGATGTAGGGGATGTACCGAGGATGTAGGGGATGTACCGAGGATGTACTAGAGGATGTAGGGGATGTACCGAGAATGTAGGGGATGTACTGAGGATGTACTAGAGGATGTAGAGGATGTACCGAGGATTTACCGGGGATGTATTTCGAATTATTTGGGGCGTAGTTCGCCGAATGCGATGTTTCAAGTCATCCAAATTTGTGGGTTGGCTTTTGAATACTTTTTCCATAAGGTATCCTCCTCGGTGTCCTCTTAAAAAAGTTTTTTTTTTATGTTTTTTTTCACTTTTTAATTTTTAAATAAGAATAAATCCAAAAAGCTTGGATTTGGGTACAGCACTTACATGGAAAATATTCAGAATTTTAAGAACGAGGTTCTAAAAGCATAAAATTATTTTACCCATAGGTAATTTTGTTGCATCCCCGGATCATCTTAAACGTTTAATTGAAGATTTTTCAAAAGACAAACATTTATTGTCAATGTCAGACCTAAAAGCTCTGCCGAAAAAATATGTTCTCTACAAGTAATCAAATTGCTTGAAAATGTTGCTGGTAGTGAAGGTACCCGAGCCTACTTGAATATAATGCATCTAGCCATATCGTCTTATCTAGATACGGGCTCTGACATAAAGACAAGAATATATAATATCTGGTATGTTGTTTTTTTTCTCAGGATTTGGCGAAACTGGCTTGAAAATCATCCAAACTATAAAATTGGAGCTAATTTCATAACAGCCAATTGTTATAATTGCTTAGAGCTTAATGCTCATGCATTAATTAACCTAGTTTGCAATTTCCGTGAAAATCCCATTCTTACGCAAGACATGTTTCTTCCTTCTTTATTTTCTAGTCAAACCTGCGAGAAGATGTTTCGGGCTACAAGATCAATCACTTCAACATTTTCGACAGTAGTCAACTACAGCATTAAAGACATCATGCTACGTATAGACAGGATCATGGCAGTAAACAATATCTTAAATGATCTTAAAGATGTGATTTTTCTTCGAGAAAGGGCAAAAATATCTACTGAATCACACTCACAATTTCAAGATCTTTCTGACTCTTGTTTAGAAAATGTAGTTTAAATGCTCTAAATGATGCAATACAAACTACGTGCGACTTGGGAATTGAAGTTGTTGATAACAGTTGGAATATCATATCTATACCTGTATTAAAAAACCCTACCGATGAAAATGAAAGTGACAATCAAACAGAAGAAGTTGTCAGGGACCCGGTAAGTGATATGGCAACTTTCGTAGACGAAGAAACTGTACCAAACATTCTTAGTGCCCTACCAGTTGAGTCAGGAAACTCAGATAACCTGGATAATCAAGAAAGTAGCTTATTTATAGATTTATGCAACATTTCATCGGCAGGAATAGGAGAAGAACTTGTGATGAAAGATTTTTCAGCGAAGTTCGTCGAGGGAAATAATGCGGTATAAATGAGCAGGCACCCATGGTTCGAGTAACCATAGGAAATAAAATTGCAGTTATAAAAATCCTCATTGTGTTGGCTCCTCGACGAAAAAAAAAATCAGTGTGGATCGCCTAAGACGATTTATTTTAAATAATCCTAAAGCGGACAACACTCGTGTCAAAAAACAAAAAAAATCATCAGAGTGCAGTCGAAAAATAATAAAAAAAAGAGAAATTGCCTGGCAAAACAAAAAAAGGGAGGTAGAAGAATTTCTTCATCTGAAACATCTTCGGAGGATGATGTAACAGCAGTCATGGATCGGACCAAGACTCAAAAAATCAAGATCAAGATCGAGATCAAGACTCCAGACTTGAGCCAGAAGTTGAATTGTACAAATTTTATGCGGTTTACTACGATTCAGGGTGGTTCATCGGCGAGATCGAAGCAAAAATGGGAAAAACTTTCAGAATGAAATTTCTCAAAGAAAAAAAAATGGGGGTTTCTTTTATTGGCCCAAAAAAGCAGACACAGCGGAGGTCGAAAAAGAGTTCATTTTTTTCGGCCCTGTTTGTTTGTCGCCTGATTTGGACGGGTATTTGCAGTTAAAAATGATGATTATCAAAATATATCTTTTGCCTATTCTCAAAAGAAGTAGCCCTCCTAGGATATTTTTTTTTGAAAAGAGAACAATGTTAACTTTTTGTTTTTTATCGAGGTTTTTATATTCCTTTCAAGGATTTTTAAATGTTTTTCTTTTTTATTCATTGTACGAGATAAGACTGAGTTTGTTACGTTATTGTTCCTATTAGGTAATATGATTTACTTTTGTTAATTTACATAATGAGTGTATACAGTGAACAGCATTACAATTCGGACACATGTTTTTAATAACAATCGGTATTAAGTACAAATCCTAATCAATAAACAATTCAGTCAAATGCAGTGCCGCGCGAGGTGCCGCGTATCTCTACTACATAATCATAATACCACAGCAATCCCAGAACTTTAAAATATGAATTAGAACTGAACAGAATAATATGATTAACAGAATAACAAAACAGAATTATATAAACTATAAACAAAATAGAAAGTTAATGCTCTTACCACTGATTTCATTTATGTCAGAATTTCGACACAATTCATGTTTCAAAAATTTATTGTTTGACATTATTTCACGACGGGTATTCAAAAACACGTGTCCAAATTGTAATGCATCTCACTGTACCTAGTTTTGCGTAATATCATAATAGTGTAAAATATTATTATATATA